AGCCCCCCCCGCATGCACCATATCCCCCCCGCATGCATGCAAGACCCCCATGCATCCAGCCCCTAACATGTGCACCTCCCACACATGCACGTGCATCTCCCACATGCCCCCTGTCGTGCATGCATGTTAGAGACCCATAAACCATCTGGCCGGCAAGAGGCATGCACATATGCATGGTGGAGCTGAGCTGGGGTGACAGCTCGTGTGCCTGCAGAGAGGGTTCTGCGTGCCACCTGTAGCATGCGTGCCATAGGTTTGCCCTCACAGCTCTGTAGCATTTAAGACAAACAGTTGTCCTATCTCTCCTTGAAAACCTCCAGTGATGGAGCACCCACAACTTCTGAAGGCACGCTGTTCTACTGCTTGATTGTTCTCACTGCCAAGAAATTTCTCCTTAGTTCTAGGTTGGTTTTTCTCCAATTGATTAGTTTCCATCCATTGTTTCTTGAGTTGCCTTCTGGTGCTTTGGAGAACAGCTTGACTCCTTCTTCTTTGTGGCCATTCCTTAATGCAACCTTCCTCCTTATTTCTTTGCAGTTTGGCCTATCAACATGTTTTGAGTGATGTATGGGACTTGAGAAGTGCTTTACAGAAGAAGAATCAGAGCTACCGTATTTTTCAGAGTATAAGACGCACCCTTTTCCCTCAAAAAAGAGGCTGAAAATCTAGGTGCACTCATACACTATAGCATTTTTTTTGCCTCCTGAAACTCCGTCCCCTTCACCAAAATGGCTGTGCATAGCTTGTAGGAGCTTTCAGAGAGCTCCTGGAGGCTATGGAGGGCAGAAATGAGCAAAAATGGGCTATTTGTTGCTCAATTTTGCCCCCCAACCCCCAGGAGCACTCTATAAGCTTCCCAATGCCCTTTTTAAACAAGAAATGGGCCCATTTTCATGAATAATTGGCCTTTTTTCCTCATTTTTGCCCCACCCCCTGCAGGAACACACTACAACAGTGTTTTTCAACCTTTTTTGTGCAAAGGCACACTTTTTTCATGAAAAAAGTCACGAGGCACACCACCATTAGAAAATGTTAAAAAAGTTTAACTCTGTGCCTATATTGACTATATATAATTAAGTGTTTTTCCCACGGCACACCTTACACTATGTCACGGCACACTAGTGTGCCGCGGCACAGTGGTTGAAAAACACTGCTCTACAAGCCTCCTAAGGGCTATTCATGCCCCCTTTTTTAAAAAAGTAAACGGGCCCATTTTCATGAAAACGGGGCCATTTTTGGGAGGTTTGCAGAATACATAACACTTTTTTTTTATATGCCTCTTCAAAACCTTGGTGCATCTTATAGTCCGAATACTACGGTAAGCTAAAAGGCCCTTTTCAAATTTTCCAGCTAATTTGTGGGCAGAGGGACTTGGAATACTGCATCCAGTTTTGGTCACCACGAAGTAGAAAAGATGTGGAGACTCTAGAAAGAGTTCAGAGAAGAGCAACAAAGATGATTAGGGGACTGGAGGCTAAAACATAGGAAGAACGGTTGCAGGAACTGGGTATGTCTAGTTTGATGAAAAGAAGGACCAGGGTAGACATGATAGCAGTGCTCCAATATCTCAGGGGCAGCCACAAAGAAGAGGGAGTCAAGCCAGTGGTGGGATTAAGCCAGTTCGCACCACTTTGGGAGAACCGGTTGTTAATTTTCTGAGCAGTTTGGTG